GAATCCGTGGCGCAGATAAAGAAGACATGCCCCAAAAGAAATTCTATTGTTGAGCAGCGCAAAAACAGAGTGATCACTGACACTGAGGATATTAATGTACAGCATGTGTGCGTATCCATCAAAGCTGCAGTACCGCACATAGAGCGAGCTGCCACCCACCAGCGTCAGCGTCCCGATCGAGTACAAGCCAGACCCCCCATACCTCAATGCATGCGCCTTGACGTTGCTGACCAAAAGCGAGGAAGCATCCAAAAAAAAGTTCTGCAGCAGCACCACGCTCAGCGTGTTGCTCATAAGCTCAAGCAGCTGGACCTCAGAAGACTGCACCGCGTCAACCTCCGTGACGGCGATGTCGCAGTGCTGCGGGAGGGCAAGTGAAAACACAACGACAGAGGACCGCATCACCGTCCGGCTCACGCGGATAAGGACGCCGGCTGACTCGATCACCTCAGCACCCCCAACAAACTGCAGCACGGCCCCGTCGCGGAATGTGCATCCAGTGAGCGTGATGTTGATGGGGAGATGCAGCGGCATGCTGTTGAGGAAAAACGTCAGCACAGCACCCACGCCGCTGAACGTCACACCCACGTAGCAGTGGTGCGTCTTCCACATGTTCAGCGTGAGGTTCGTCAGCGTCTGGTCCACCACGCAGCTCGTGTCACCGTCAACGGCTCTCTCCGCTACGGGCGGCACAACCGTGTCGGGCACCTCGAAGGGAAGACACGACGCGCCATGCCATCCGTCCTTGCAGCTGCACGAGCACGAGCCGCGGTCCACCGACTCCGTCCCTGGCATGTAGCACGCCGCGTCCTCGTTGCATGTGCCACACCTAAACAACACCACTTCCCCAGGAAACACATCGTCGCACGACACCTCCTCATCGCCCTGCAGGTTGCACCCAACCACAAACCGTGCGGGTAACGTCACAATCGTGCTCAATGGAAGAAGTTTCGCAAAGGAATAACTATTGTCTACCTGACGGTTGTTCGATAGCACCACGGTGGTGCTGCTGCCCGACAGACGAATTTTGTGCTTGGAATTAGGCATACCTATCACTGAGGCTGCGCTCACGTTGTTGCCCTCCACACGCCACTGCGCACCACCCTCGAGTGTCACAGAACCGTCCAAAAACACTAGAGTGGAATCAAAACTCTCCTTCCTGCCAACGAATTTGCAGACCGCCACTCGCAGCAGCCCCGCGGAGCTCACGGTGGTATCCCCAAAAAAATAAATGCCATTAGCCGCCCTCATCGTGTTGTTCTCCACGTCAATGTAGCCGCCGTTCCTTACGTCAACAGCGTAAACGCAAACAGATGATTCCACACCGTTATTTTCCATCGTACTCAGCGTATTTCCCTTCACAATGATCCCGCCACCATCAGCAACAACAGCATCGGAGAAATAAATTGCGTAACTATTCCCCTCAATGTAGTTGTCAAGCAGCATCAGCGTCAAATTCGCGTTAAAAATGAACTCCACAAATAAAATGGCGTAGATCGACGTCGACACAAACGTACTGCCTACCACCAGTATCTGGGAGCTCACGCCAAAATCACCCTCAAACTCCAACGCTCCGGCATCCAGCATCGAGGATGTCACGTTCACGTGCACGCGCGCACCACTCCCCTTGATCAACAGGCCCATGAGAACGCACTGCAGCAGCGTGATGTTGAGTGTCTGTTGTGGCGCGTCGAAGCTCCACAGGTCCAGCACAATCGCGGCGGTGAAGGTCACGTTGACAAAGCACAGACCGCGCACACCGGGATCAGGATAGTCCACGGAGCTGATGCTGCCACCGTGCACGCAGCGGACCTCCGTGTCCTTCGCGTCGGGGAGCGGGAGCGGCCCAAGGCCGTCCGGAACCGCAGCTGGCACACACGTGTCACCGTAGCCGCCAGCAGCGCACTCACACTCACAGCCGCTGATGCTGCTCGTCCTCGCTGCAAAGCACACGGCGTCCACAGTGCACGCGCCACAGTCCAGTGCCGTCACGGGTGCTCCAATATTGAGGTCTTCTCCGTAATTCGTCACAGGAGAGCCCCTTAGCTCGTTGCACATGCCGTAGATTATCGGGCGCGAGTCGGATGGTGGTGGCCAGTTGCTTGTCATGTGTGCAATGGTCGACGAGTACGAGCCGTACGTGAAGTTGTTGTCAAGTATCGACCACACACTCCGATCGCGGAACACAATGCCGTTCTCCTTGGCCACGTACACAACGTAGGCGGTGCGGAACTCGTTGTTGCGGTGCACCAGCCAGCTGCCGTCAGTCACAGTCAGCGTGTTTGCAATGAGCATGGCGAAGCCGAGACGGAACGTGCTGGACACAATCTGCAGCACGCTGCCACCATCCACCGCAACATCCTCAAACACACACGCGCCCTTGTAGAACTCGGTGCTCGGAGCAATCCACGAGCTGTTCTGTATGGAGAACACGGAGCCGCCGCTGACACGCAGGTCCGACGCAAGAGCGTACATCACGTGCTCCCGCGACCCAACAACGCAGTTGTCCATGTAGAAGACACTGGACAGGTTCACGGCGAGGCCGCGCTCCACGAGGATCGCAGCGCACGAGCCCCCGCCACACACCAGCGTCGACCGCGTCATGACAAACCGCGTCGACAGAAGCCGGACGCCGTCCAGGACAAGCGCGGGGCCGTAACGAAATTCCTCGTGTCTATGGGTCGTCGGCACGTACTGCGACTCGCCAACCGTCGCGCGCAGCGTTGAGTTCGTCAGCAGCACACTCGAGTGCAACGGCATCGCGCCATGCAGCACGATCGTGCCCTCCAGCGACGTCACGTTCGTCATGTTGACGAGGGCGTGGGGCATCAGGCGCGCCGTGCTCTCGCTGAGGCCACCAATCCGCAGCTGCGCGCCACCCGCAAGCACGCAGTGGCGCAGCGTCACGCTCAGCGCGTCGGCAAACGCGTCCATCAAGCGCAGGTCCACCGCCACAGTGATCGGCCCGCTGAACACCACCGAGTCGAAGCACGCCGTCGCACGCCCGCCGCCAACCGTCACCGACTCCGTCAGCGTCACGCCACTCACGCAGCCCTCCGCACCGCCACCACCACCACCGGACCTCGCAACCGGCACGTCGAACGGCAGGCACGCCTCGCCCACGCCGCCGGCACGGCAGCTGCACACGCAGTCGGAGAACGACGCCGTCAGCGCATCAAAGCACGCCAGCGCGGCCGCACAGCCGTCGCACGGCACCACGCTCACGGAGGGCAGGCCGGCCATGCGGTAGTCGCCGCTGCCCTGCAGCACCCGGCCGCCGGCACGGTTGCACTGCACCGACACGACACCGCCCGTGATCGTCAGCCCGGAGACAAGCGTCGCGCCAGTGGCAGCGCAGCGCGCAATAGACACGACACCGCCGCTCAGCGTCACCCCCGACAGCGACGCCACCGACGACGCCTCGCCCACCGCCCACACGTCGTGCAGCTCCAGCCACCCGCCGACACCGACCGTCCCACCGTCGCAGCGCACCAGCGACGACGCAACAGACCCCTCGACACCCACGAAGCGCAGCACCGAGTCGGACACCGCGAGGCGCTCGCCAAGCACAATGCCGCCGCCGCTGCTCACAACCGACACGTTCGTCACGGAGAACACCGAGTGGCTCCGCAGACTGAGACGCGACGAGGACGCCACATGCATCGCGGACGCGGTAGGACCGCCCGACGCCTCCAGCGACACGCCGTCAAGCACCACCGCGCTCGACAGCAGGTCCACGCCGCCGCCAACGTACACCGCCGACCCGCCCGCGTGCAACGACCTCAGCACAGTGTTGCTCACACGCAGCTGCGTCTGCAACAGCGACGTCACGTGCAGCACAAGCGGCGACGCCACCGCGTCCGTCAGCCCGCTCAGCTGCGAGTAGCGCATCGGCCCCGCCGTCACAATCGTCGAGTCGCGGACCGTCACGTTCGTGTGTGCCGGCAGGTTGTGCACAAACACAAGCGAGCAGTAGCTCCCGGACAGCCCGCTCACGCTCACCTCCAGGCTCCGGTCACTCGCCGGCTCGCCGCTGTAGCCCCGCACGTAGGTCTGCGCACCGCCGTCGCACACGCAGTTCCTCAATTCAATGCGCAGCGCGCCGGGAAGCATCGCAGGCACGTCGAACACCACAGCCACGCCGTTCGTGATGGACACGCCGTCCATCAGCACCGTGTCCACGGCGCGGCCAACCGTGATGGCTCTGTCCACCGTGCCGCCCCGCAGTCGCAACACCACCGCATGCACAGCGGGCATCCACACCGCAGCAGCAACCAGCGCCAACACAACGAGCAGCGCCACACGCACAGCCGCAATGGTCATGCGCCGCACACGGTGCCGGCTGCGCGGACACGCACCCACCGCACACCACATCCACAAACCAATCAGATATCAATAGAGCTGTCGTGGTGTGTCGCACTCGCCCCGTCGACCGTAGCTCCTGTCCAACAAATCCCTTCCTACAAATGGCAAATCAAGAGACACTATTCCGATAGATCGTTATCCCACTACTACTAATCCTAATACAGCGATTAATCCCTAACACCTTGAAACGATAGTTGTGCTGGTCAAGCCAAAATAGCTCTATCTGCACAGTCAGAAAAGAAAGAGGAAGCAACAACAGTAACTAAGCACAGTGGCACGCAGAGGCATCCGGTCACAGACAGTCCCCACCAAAGCACAGCCAGCGACAAAAAAAAGCGCAGACGCAGTCAGCCCAGTGATGTCACCGCCCTCCCACCGCCCACGCAGCCCCACACAACCACCATGCAGAGTGGCAGAATCCCAGCAAAAAGACACATGACCATTGGCACCGCTTCTGCAACCAAATGGTTCTACCACAGAGCACTCTTGATGCCGCGAAAGACACACAAGAACCGAGACAGAACCACGTGGCAGCGTTACAACCGTCGACCATCAAGCGCGTCCGAGGATGTAATGGTGGCACGGGAGGAATGGAGGACTCGCCGTTCACCGGCAGTCAAGGCGGCGTTCCTCCCTCACGTGGGTCGGCATTGCACAGCAAACAGCGGTACCATAAGCGCACACGGCACACACAAGAAGGACGAATAAAGTGGTACGGTGGCGGCACCCAGACACGGGGGACAAGGGTCCACGTCGATCGTGCGGTCGGTTCCTTCCTTCTCCCACTGGGGCGCAACTCCACCAACGCCGTCGCTCGCCCACTCCCCCACCAACACAGAGCGAGGCAGCAACAGCATGAGTTGCGACACGTGCGACAAGTACGCAGCCGCAGAATCCCATTTCTGCCGCCATGACCAAACAAGGCTGGCTGCTGGACTCAAAAAGAAGAATAAACACCCCATCAAACGCTTCGGCATCACGCGGAAGCACCGCAACCGACACACAAGGCGAAGCGTCGTGAAGCAGCCACCAAAACCAAAGCACCTCCAACAAATCCATCGTGAAGCAAAAGAAAAAAAAAATTCACACAAACCGAAAAAAAAGAAAGTGCTGGTGCAGAGGAAATAAATGGTCGTGGTACGCAGCGGCCGTGGCATCGCGCCCTTCCCTCATCAAACGGCACCGCACTGCAACGCACCGTGACGACAGCCTGCAATGACGACGATTGAGTGGCACACACAAAGCGGCATAAACGTTTCATCCCGCACTCGCTCAAATTTACGCTCTCAGTATGTACTGCCAACGACACGGGGAAGGACACAGAAGGGGACTGTCCTGTCCATCCACCTTCTGCCCACAACAGATCTTCCTCATCCTCATCCTCGCCACGCCCTGGGTGCCGCGAAACGCCGTCAAGCAAAGCCACGTGTATGGAAGGCCCCAATGCGCGGGGCGAGGCTGGAAGCCACCCACACTCACTCTCCCACACACATCCTCTCCCACAACCTTCCCACACACAAAAGGGCAAAGACATGGAAAAGAGAAGCCCGCCGCACAATACACGCAGAAGCACAGCTATCCACGTCGCACTGCAAGAAAGAGTCATGCGCACAGCAGACCCACGGCCGCAACGAGAGGGACGGAGCGCATGCAAGTCCACGGCGCTGTCCTTTACTTCTCTCTGCCCCGACGAATAGGCATTACGCCTCACAACAGGTTGTGGCGAGTGGCGCCATACACTCACAGTGAGGCACGGCGCACACCATCCGCTCCCCTCCAAGTGCACTCAACAGGCCGGAGCACGGCGTCCAGCCAATCTATTGACATCGCAAAGGCGAACACAAACAATCGTCGTCGCGGAACATCGGTGCCTCTAGCGGAGAGAAAAAAAAGATGCAATAGGGGCATGTCAACAGCACGGCCAGCAGAGGGACAAGAAAAGAGACACAAGGACACAAAGTGGCAGTGGACATGGCACAGAGGAAAAAAAGCCCGCAGTGATTTAAAAAAAAAAGAAAAAAGAAACAAAAGGGTAGGAGTTCAGAAAAACTCCCAAAAACATTAAAAAAAAAATATTGATTCGGCAGGACTTTTACTTCATGTGCCGGTTCAGCACAAGACGACCGTGTGTTCTGTATAAATATTACCTGCACCAAAACGAAAAAATGAAAATGAAAAAAAGAAAGTAAAACGAAAAAAATGAAATTGTACTGTTCCACCAGCCCACACAACACTATTCACGTTTCGTGCGGCATCCGGCCTTTTCTTCCAATCCTCCCTTCGTGCAATCCGTGGGGCGCACAGCCGCAGGGCCGGCACCGCGTGTGGGCAACAAACAACAAAACAAGAGGGGGAACACGGCACTCATTACAGTGTGCAGCAACCAAAAATTAAAATAAAAATAAAAAAAAAGAATTACTGAGTATTACAAAAAAACACAAGAAAAAAAAAAGGAAAAAAAAAAGAAAAGAACCCGCGGGGAATGCGCCACACAATCTCCGTGAGGAGTCGCAATGTCACATTCTCCGGCTCACAAGACTACCACAAGTGCACACAGCCCCAGAATAAGAAGCAACGCCCGAGACACGCGCACACGCGCAGTGCTGTCACCACGTAAGTCATGCAGGATCAATTTCGCGTCGGTGACCAGGGCGAGGCGGTCGTCTAGGCTCATACTGCCATCGGATGCTGGGTGATTGGTTTCTGGAACGGAAGTGCCATTTGAAGCGGCAGTGCGTGGACGCAATCCGTCCGTAAAATTCTCAGCACTCGATTCACTGCCCGCAAGAACACGGACAGACTGAGAGTCAGTCGGTTGTGCAATTGGAGCCTCTTCAGCGTCTGCCAAGGAAGTCGTCAGCTGTCTGACCTTCTGCTTTTCTTCCTCCGTCGCCGTGACTTTCACCGCAGTGTCCAGTTCTTCGGCAGCCGGATGTCGAATAGGGACTGTCCTGGCGTTGAGGTTTCTGAGGTCATCATCATACAGTATGTGGTTGTACAGAAGGACATTAGCCACCGTCACAGGGCTGTTCCCTTCATCTTCCTTATTGCCCGCACCAAAGAAAAAGTGTGAGATCCTGTGTGAACCAAACTGATCAGTGTTACGGTGCTTAGCCATTTCTTTTTCATCCGTCTCGTATATTCTTCTCCCATTAGCGTCCACAAACCATTCATCACCGTTATCCTTTTGCACCGTCACTCGAATTGCCGTGTTTGTTTCCCAATTGCCAACATCATTAGACGGCTTCACCAAAAAATCCTTCTTGTAAAGTGTGAATTTCCAATTTCTTTCACTCGTGTACGACAGCTGAAAGAGCACCGTGCTGGCCGTGTCGTTCAGCCTCGCACCAATCAAAGGAACGGGGCTGCTGCCTGCCTTCGGCACCTCGTGGATGGACACTGTCGCCGAAAGAGTGAACTTGTTGTTTGTAAAGTAGTACGGCACAGTCTGCCCCATGTCGCCAACAGGCCACTTCGCCTCGGCTCCATTGAGCGCCACACCGCTCTCCGCGCTGGTCACTCTGCCCCTCACTGTGGCATTCACACCGAGGTACTCGTCCTTCCATGCAGTCCCGTCCAATGTGCTGGACAAAAAACCAACCAACCCTTCAGTGGGAACTTTCAAGGCGTTGTCCAATTCTTTCCATGTCTTCACCGCACACTTTATCCGCTCCAGCTGCTCCGTCAGGCGCATGGCGACAAGACTGTATGGCTCGTCACCATTCCTCTTCTAGTACAGTAAAATCAGCTCATCCTTACTTTTCACCAGAAGAGAACTGGCGGCAGCGTCATCATCTTCACGGGATATCGGCCCAACATCATACACACGTTTATTGTCCGTCACCCAAAGATGGAGCCGACCCTCTCCATTGTCGTCCTTCGGATAAACCGGCGCGGTGATGAACATCACCTCCTTTTCCCCAATGGTTGCGGTGGTAAATCCGCCCTTAACGCCGTCCCCTGTTCGACCATGTGAGTTGCCCCACACGCGGGTAATTGGCTCACCATCTGGATTCCAATTGACTCCATCCTCAGTGGACCTGTAAACGTCATAGTAGCCTCCAGCACAATGAGCCATCATGAAGAGTATTTCATCGTCTTCGTCTTCTTCCCACTTCACCAGGGTTGGATCCCTGCAGCCGTTACCAGGCGTCTCGGATGAAAGCTCCCATTTGTTCTCCGACTTGGAGAAATGCATAGACAGCAAAACGCTCTTTCCATTACTGTCTTTGGCCTGCATGGGAAACACAATCGCGCCATCACCCATCACAGCGCCCGATCCTCCGCCGCCAATTAACTCGGTCAAGGAAAGAGATGCTCCTTTGCCTTGAGGGTTCACCACATGGGTCTCATTCCACAAAAGTTTCTTGTTGTTTCCACTCTCATCGGCGACAGTTCCCTTCACGAGTAAAAGACCCCGCTCATTCGTATCTTGAATCTTCGGCCTTGCACGGCTTTGGTTTCCCAGGAGCACGTAAACGCTGTCCCCAATTACAACTGTCGTTGGTCGCAACAATTCCGTTGTCCCAAAATTATTCTCGGTGGTGTCCCCAAGTTGCATGCAAAACAAACTTATATCCGACGTAGAAATATCCATTGAGCCATCACTTATATTCAGGTGCTTTGACACAATCCCAGCACGGCGGCCGACTCCATTCCTTTCCCCGCACTGCGCTTCAGCAACGGCAAATACATCATCACCCACTTTAACGAGGCCAGGAACACGGAGCGAGGTGATTTTGCTTCCGTACTTAAACTCCTTCCAATTAGTAAGCGGTATCGACGTCGTCCCCTTAAACGGATCAACAGTGGCCCCTGCCTGCTCAACGGCAGGCGTAGCTCCACAGGTGCCGCAGCACACCATCACGACGAGGAGGAGCACCGCAGAGTAGAAGAGATGCCGGGACATGTTGGCCCTCTGCGGCTCACTCTCTCCTCGTTCCCTCCTCCTTCCGCTGGATCCGGTCACGCGGCGACGGTTGTGTGTGCGGGGTGCCATGACTGTAGCAACACGTGAGAGCATATAAATATGTGTGTGTGGGCGGTGTGTGTGCTGTTGTTCCTTTCAGAGCCCTCGAATTTCACAGTAGCGATTCGCGTTTGATTGCTTTCTTTCCTAGCGTGTCTTTGTCCAAGAAGTGGAGAGTACAGCAGCAACAGTGGCAATACACCAGACACGTCAGCGGGGTTAGAGCAGAGCACATCACTCACGCAAGGTGCGGAACAAAACAGAATCTGTAAGGGACATCACGGAAAAACATCGCACACACACAGAAAAAAAAACACGGCAAGTCACAGAGGAAGCCAACACACACACACACAAATGGACGCGGAATTTCATTATTCGGCGACTTCATTCAAAGTCCTGCCAAAACAGTCCGCAAATGATACAGTGATCAGTCACACGCTCCCGGTGCACCGCCGCGGCAAGGACGCGGACACAAACGGAATTATCTGCACAAACGTGGGCAGCATCAATTCACAGCACAGTCGCACGACACTCGCTCTCTCGGTCCATCCCACGTCCCGCCTCAAAAGGCCTCGGCAAGCACCAATCAACAAAATAATGAGGCGGCGGAAACAACTTCCCTGCAGGCACTTCAGGGCTCCACAGCAACGCCACCAACAGGAGGAGCGTGCATCCCTCTGCTTGCAGCAGTGCAGGCCTCTTTGCTCCTGGCCTCTCGGAGCGTTGAGCACCTCCCCGACCATCTCGCGCTCAAAAAGCAAGCCGCACGCAGATGCCATTCATTTTCTCCGCAAATGGTGTTGCCGCGCTGAATCATGTGCAAATAGTCCACAAAACACATCACCCAAATTTTCTTTCCATTACCACAAAAGAAAAAGGAAAAAATATTTTTAAAACCTAACATAAATACCACTTCGCCCTACTCACTGCGCATTGCCCCGCACACGATCGTTGTTACTCGCCCTCTGCTCTTCGCCCATCCCATTCCTGCCTGCCAGGATGTACATCACAGTCGCAACCCCTCCCAAGAAAGACTTTACCACATGCTGGCACAGGCCACATTTTCCCTTGCATCCCGGTCTCCCGCCCACAGGAGGGCAAACAGGGAGACTGCGTGCATGTGCGTGTGGATGGCGATGTAAAAAACTCATGGAATTCAAAGAAATACGGCACACAGGGTGACCCCGC